AGGGAGGGTCTGTTATTTCCTGCCCATCCCTGCTACTAGTCAGTGCGCCCGCCCCCCTCCCCGCCCCCAAGGAATCATTTGGCTTGAAGTTTCAAAATTCGGTAAGCCTCCACAAAACTTGCAGGTGGGAGTGTTGCCTGATTAAGGGGTGGGGTGTGTGTGTGTGTGTGTGTGTGTGTGTGTGCGCGCGCGCGCGCGCCCATGTGTCAGTGTGCAGTACAGGAGGAAGTTACGATGTTGGCATGGTTGGGGGATGTGGGCTCGTACGTTCGGAGGCGGAGGAGATGCCCAGTAATAATTTCTTCCTCACTAAGACTTATTCCCCCCCTTCCCTCCCCCCCTCCCCCAATTTAAAGGTGAAACGTGGGATTCAGATCCAGGTAGTTTCAGAAACTTCCCGGTGACAGGTGTGGAAAGGACGGGGTGGGAAGTTGGTGACCAGGAGGCCAAACAAGAACCCTTCTGCACCCATGCAGTGCTGTGAAGGTTCCAAAACGGGCTTTGCTTCCACTCGGGTCCCCAGGAGCCGAGCTTCACCATCCCTCCGAGTGAGCTGGAGGGGTGGAGGGGAAGGTCTGGGGGAGACGCTGCCTACTGGGCTCTAGCCCATCCTCCCGGTGCCCCCCGGGTCCTGGCGCAAACCCTTCTAGTTACCCGCTCCAGCTGTCAGGCTTCCTCCTTCTCGGCCCAGCAGCCCTACCCCAGCCCAAACGGCGGCCCCTCCCGCGGCCCCCGCCCCCTCCTGCTCCGGGTGGGAGGGAGGGAGGCGCGGGGGGCTCGCGGGGTCTCTACCTTGCCTGCGGAGGGCGCGCGGTGGGAGCCGGAGCGCGGCGCGGGAGCTGGAGCCCGAGCTGGGCTGGAGGGGACGGACCAGGCAGGCGCGGCCGCCGCGAGGCCGCCCCGTTCCTGACGACACAGCTGCCCGCCCCCGACCCCGGCCGGCCCGCCTGCGCCCAATACCTGCGCCCCCAACTCCGGGAACTCCAGTCTGGCGAGGCCTCTGTTTCCAGTTCGCCGAGCCCGATCCTCCCACCTCCCCAATATCTGTAGGGCTCTGGTCTGCGCCACTTTCTTCCACAGCCTGCGCTTCTCATCTTACCGCCTCGAGACGGCTCGTTTTCTATACATCTTCCCTTCTTGTAATCATTCATAACCTCTCCCCTCATCCCAAACCTGGGCAGCCAAGATAGGGGGCGGGACTGACGATGGCACACCTAGGCAACGTCTAACCCTCTCCCAATTGCTGCCATTTGGGGACTTCCCTTCCCAACTCTTTTCCATCCACCATTGACCGAATTCATACTCAGAAGATCCCACAGTAGCAAGCCCAGAGTCCCAGACTCTACATCCTGACACACAAACGCCTCCCTCCTCCCATGGGCTCTGCACTGGTTAACAGTATTCAAGGCCTACTTTGCCTCTAGTTTCCTCCCCTCCCTAAAACCCAAACCCCAGATGGCTCAGACTTGTTTTCCCCAATGTAAGTACACCTCCTTCTCTCAAGACTCAAGGCCTTCCCTTAATTCTGGGGTGGTTTAGGTGCACTCTGGTCTGTGTCTGCTCTTTCTCCATGCTCTAAACCTCCCATTTTACCTGCTGGCCTTGGCAGGTGGGGTAGAAGGCCCTGGCCAAACGAAAGGGTGAGAGAAGATCTTTTCAGCTCCTCCTGTCTGGAAACTGCTCTGAAGTTGTTAAGGCTCTTGGGGCAGCATGGATGATGGTGAGGCTGGTACTGCAAGGGAGATAGGCAGAGGCCTAAGACTTACTGGTAGGAACTGGGGACCCAGGCATCCTGCTCCCTGGCCCCGCCCCAACCCAGTCTAACCCCTCCTAACCTTCATTGAAGTAGGGCACAGTAACAAGGGCTTGAGTTCCTGGAATCTTTCCTCTTAACAGCTGGTGGTAGAAGAGAGGGGGAGGGGAAAACTCCGACTGGGAGGGTGTGCATGTGTGGTGTATATATGTTGTATATATGCGCGCACACACACACATACATACACACACACACACACACACACACACACAGTATATACATACTTTTGGTGGGGGTTGGAGAGAAGGAATGAATACATGAGGCCCTCTAGTGGAAACAGAGGGATCTAAGCAGTTCTTGATTGTTTCCAGACAAGCTTGTTGGAAGAGACTCCTCCATTTTTATCAGAAATATAGCAGCTGAGTAATAGCGTTTGGGAGTACTGTTGCATCTGGAGATCTGAGGGAGGTGAAAGGCGTTGGAGAAAGTCTGTCTCTCTGCTCCTGTCTCCCAGTCTTAAAAAGACAAAGGCCCTGCCACTCCCCATCCTTTATCTCCCCTTGTTCTTCTTATTCTTTTTTTAATCTTTTATTTTTAAGTAATCTCCACACCCAATGTGGGGCTTGAATTCACAACCCCAAGATCAAGTGTTGCATGCTTCACCCACTGAACCAGCCAGGCACCCCTATCTCCTCTTCCTATATGACCTCTTTAGTCGTAAGGAATCAAGAGCACTTTCCAAGGCCCTTTATGCACCAGGTCCTGTAATTAGTTCTGCAGGACAGCCAAAGACACAAGCAGACACGGCTCTGCTTAAGGACTGCACCAATGAGTGGCTTGGGGTGTGTGTGTGTAAAGTTTTCCAGCTCTAAGCCATCATAAACAAACAATATAAGAAAGTACAATTCCCATACCACCTCTTCCAGTTTTCTGCTCCTGGACCCCTCATCTAAAAATTCTGGAATGATACTAAGCTCTAAGGCACTCAGCTTTCCTTGAAAATATCACTAGCAGTAACGCCATCCTATGTAAGTCCTGTGTGTTTTCATTCCATCATCCTCAGATATGTCCCTACTTGAAGTTAAATTGCTTCTCTGAAGACCTCTTTTTTTGAGACTTCAAAGTGGGGCATAGGGTGATCTCTAATAAGGAATAAAATGAGATCAGTCATATTCTAGCCTTCTTTGTGTCTTCTTTAAGATCTGTACTCCATCATACTTCATCAGTTGTTGGTGGTGGTGGGAGGGGAAGAAAGGCCCAGAAACATCTAAGGAGGAGGCGTATAATGCCTACTGTTCCAGGTGCTCATTTCTTTAATCAACCACATCATAAAAATCAGAAAGAAAGAAACCGCAATGAACAAAGGGAAAGGAAAAAACAACAGCTTTTTTCTCCCCAGCCTCTTCTTTCTCCTCTTCCTTCTCAGGGTGTATGTCGGAGGGGGGGGGGGGGGGCGCATATCCGGGGCCCAGGGCTGGGTCCTAGGTAGGTTTGCTGGGCAGACAACTGAGTTTCACTTCCTGTCAACCCAGGAGCTGAGGCAAGACATCAGGGGGCACCATGGGGCCTAGGGTTGGGTAGTCATCAGCCACTTTAGGATTCTATTGAGCAGCCTACTACTAGTTCCAGTTCTCAGGTACTCAAGACCAACACATCCCTCTAGTTTTTAAAGGCTTCATCCCACACTCTCAACTCTATTAATTGTTAGTAACAAGGCTAAGGACTGGATGCTGACCCAGTGAGGCTGAAGCACAATTGTTGAAAGAGAGCAGGGGTTAAGGATGGTAGCGTTACAACACCTGCAATATTGTGTACTGAATGCAAATCAATTTTTAAATGAGTCTTTGAGACCTTCTGAGTTGGACCTCTGGTGGAAGTCAGGAAGGTGGAGCATGGGATAGAAGACAAGCTGTAACCTGAGAAAACTTCAAAAGCTTCATGTCAACGCTTATAGGAAGTTCCTAGTCTGTCATTGCTCTCACCTGTTTTTTTTTTCATCTTTTCTCACCTTTTTTGTTTTTTAAGTGAGCATACAGCCTAGTGTTGGAAGTGATCACTAATATTTGCCCCTCTCTACGGGTTCCACAGGTACAGTTGGACATTAACTTAAATTACCAACGTGGAGGATTTTGAGGAAGGTAAAAGTCGATAAGGAAACAGCAACGTAGAGAGGGCAGAGCCAACACCTGAGAAGAGGAACCTGCAGTCGACCCTCCCAGGCTGTAGGGGAAACGAGTTTAGCAGGACTTAGCCCTTAAGGATCAACGGCTGCTGAAAAGTGCGGGGGAGGTAAAACATTTGGGTACGTCTAAAGAATAGGGAGGGACGGGGCAGGGCAGGACTGCAAAGGCAGTGACCATAAAAGCCCGCACTATGGATGAGTTGCCGGGCCTTGGAGCCCCAGCGCCCAAACCTAGACGAGGTTAATTAGAATATTAATTGGCTCCGCCCAGAAGCCTTCACCCTGCCCTCTGACCCTGGGGCCCAGCCTGAGGAGGCTCCCGGGGTCGAAGGCCAGAGCAAACTTGGGCCGTCGTCACTTCGCTGCCCGAATCCCCAGGGCCGTCCTAGGGGCAGGGCCAGCCTGGGCTGCCCGCCCCACCCGGCTCGCCGCCTCCTCGGTCGTGGAATTCGCCGGCAGCCCTAAGGCTGCGGGGACAGGTGACCGGCCGGCAGCGCCCTCTGCTTAGAATGCCCCTCTCGCGGATATGACCCGAGGGTTGAGCTGGGTAGCCGAGGGCAATCGACACGCGATTTCGACCTCTCCACCTACTAAGAGAGGGTCAGTTTGGGGGTCTTCCATTCGCCCCTGACAAGATTGGTACGCCCTAGTGCGTTCCCGGAGTTTGCCCGTCCCATGTCCCGAAGCCGCTCTAGGACCAAGGTGCAGTCTAGGGCCTGATTTTCGAACTCATTTATCAGCCCCACTTTCGGGGTGCAGGTGGGCCTTGCCCCCTTTTCCCTCGAAGGTCCTGGACGAACGGAGAGGGATCGTGCCTCAGAACTTCTCTCGGTGCCCAGAGGACTGCTTTACACGGAGCAGACGCCCAATATTGGTATCAGTGGCAGTACTAGAGCCTACGGCTTTTATTTTATTAAAGTCTTTAACTAAGCTTCTGCTCTCTTCCTCCTTCTCCGTCCACGAAATGGTGTACTCTCCCTTTAAGACTAAAATGGTGGCTGGCTACGATCAGGACTCCACTTCCGGTGGGGAGGGGGGCGGGACCCCAGCCCGCTCACGCCGGAAGTGGTTTGCGTTTTCAAGATGGCGACTCCCTATGTAACTGACGAGACCGGCGGTGAGTGCGGGAGGCGCGGAGCCGCTTCTCCCCGGGCTCTCGGGGCAGGGGTTCGGACTTGGAAAGGGGTCTGTGCCCCGCCCATCCCGGGGCCCCTCCTTTTGCCCCGCCCTCCGGACCGCCTTCCCCATTCATTCTCTCCTATGGGGTGTCACCTGCGCCCCCTTCTGGTCTCGTGTTTGGGGGTCTCCGCTTCCGGTCACCCAAACCCTGGGGTCCTTCAGTGCAGGTTCCTGCACCAGGACCCTCACAGGCCCTTACCTTTTCTCCAGCAGCTGGAGATCCCATATCTCTTTTGGCTTCTCCAGGCTTGGGAGCTCCTATACTCTCAGTTCCCTCCAATTCCTGCTTTTCTCCTGTTCCCCTCCCCCATCTTTAAGCTGTACCTGCCTTCGGCCCTACCCCAGCCCCATTTTAACTCTCATTCTCGAAGCTGTATCTGAAGACTTCCTCATTGCTGCATAATGCTTTTTCCATCCTCACCAGCATCTTCATTGTTGGGTTACTGAGGTTCAGAGGTGTGAATGGAAGAGTAACCTAGTTTAACTTTCAGCTTGAGTTTTCTTTTTGATGGCATCACCCTTCTGTACCTTTCTGGTGGTGATGGTGAGGGATCTGAGGTGGAAGTTGAGGGATCTGAGGTGGAAGAAGGCAAACAAAAGGTGTCTAGTGGCCTCTCAAGCCCTCTGACAAGTTCATAGAACCCACTATAAATTCTGCCTAGAGAAGAATTTCCAGCCTGGAGGATTGAGGTGAAGTGTCTACTGTATATGGAGGTTTGTGTATGGAAATCTGAGAGTCAATATTTTCATTTTGGTTTTGTCCCATCCTTATTTCCTCATCTTTAGAAAAGTGTGCATAGTAATATCTATCTAATGACCATTAAATAAGATCGCATACGTGAAAGCAATTTATAAAACGTTGTACAAGGCAAGGCGTCACTGTTTTTCACTGTGTATGTGTAGTCTTCTGTAGAAGTGACACTGTGTATGCTGTGGTACAGCAGTCTGTACAGTCTGTTTTTAAAATGTGCCCTTTATTGCTTGCTTTGCTGCTTTCCATGTTCCTTACATCTCAGCTCTCCTCTCCTATGGTATCTTATGACAAGCCCGGTCTCGGCTACTTCTCCCCAGCCTCACATTTCAAAGTGGTACATAGAACGTCTCTTCTCCTGTTCTCTACTCAGTAGGCCCTTCTACCAGCTCCTTTTAATGTGCTTCGAAAATATTACACATCATCCAGCACACTTTTCTTCTTAACTATTTAAACCGATTTCATGAAAATCCTGATACCACGTCTCACGCTACCCTCCCACTAAGAGGTATCTTTTGTTCTCTGTGACTTTGTAGGAGAGAAGGAATCACACTGCATTTTTTCTTTCTCCTACTACTTCCAGGTCATTGACGTACCCCTGTCATTCTAATCTCTTTGGAAGGTATTGCCATGCAGTTAAAGCATTGTCCCTAAAACCTCAGGGCCATCATTTATTGTCCACAAGGACCCAGACCTGTTGCATCATACTTTTTTCTCCACTGTTTCTTGTTCTTATTCCCAGTGTCTCCAGCATCTTTGAAATACTCTGATCTTACAAGTTCCTCAGCACAAGACAGTTGGCTTTCCTTTGTATTTTTAAAGTATCTACACATCAGATCACTACAACCTGGACCTCATCTATGACACTGCTTCCCCTTCAGGCACTTCTTATCACGTTAGCCTCCTTACCAGTTACCGTTTTCACTACTTCCCATCCACAGAATCCACTTTTTGACCTTCTTAGGTTCTTAACTTTTTCCATTTCTTTGAGTCTGCCTGTACCTTCATGACTGTCTTTGATGCTGCTCTGCTAGACCTTGGTGACCAGCTACTTTGATACTATCTTCATTGCTTGCTTCATTCTTTTTGATCTTCTGTACTTGGCAAGCACTTCTGTTATCTTGGATCATACTCATCACCTATTTTCTTGGCTTCCATGTCTAGGCCACAGCACATGACTAGTGAAAAAGTGCAAAACCTGTACATTCAGTATAATGTAACTTAGTGTTAACTTCTGCCAAGATCATGGCTTCTCTCAAGTTCTTATTTCTGGGTTTGCTTACATTCTACCATGGTTTTCCCCCCAAGCTTTTCCAGTACTCTGTGACCTCCCTCTTAATTCCCCCATCTTGTAGCAGATGGCTTTGCTTTCTATTTCATTGAAAAGTCAAGGTTTATCATTTCTCTTTCTTTCCTGTCCACAGCCTGATTTCTTGAATATCAGATCTACCCACACTTTTTTTTTATTTTCTCACTCTTATTTGTCCTTTAGCTTTTCACAATTTTGTTTCTAGCACCAACTCTTTCCTTAGTTGCTATTTCTCTTTTCTAATTGATTGGTGAATAACTTTCATTCTTGAATATACTGTCACACCTTAAAATCAATCTGCCCAAAATCAGTATCATTTTTTCCTTATTTCCATTAATGACACCCTCGTTCTAGCTAACCAAGATCAATTTTTTTGTACCATCTCTCTCTCTTTACTTTTAAATAGACTTTATTTTTTAGAACAGTTTTATTATTTAATTAATTTATTTATTAAAAAGTTTTATATATTTCTGAGAGAGAGAGAAAGACAGTGTGAGCAGGGGAGGGTCAGAGAGAGAGAAGGAGATACAGAATCTGAAGCAGGCTCCAGGCTCTGAATTAGCTCTCAGCACAGAGCCCGATGCGGGGCCCGAACCCACAAACCATGCGATCATGACCTGAGCTGAAGTCAAATGCTTAACCGACTGAGCCACCAAGGCGCCCCGAACAGTTTTAGATTTATAGAAAACTTGAGAAGATGATACAGACAATTCCCATATATTCAGTTTCCCCTATTATTAATATCTTACATTAGTATGGTACCATTATTGCAGTTAACGAACCAATAGTGATACATTATTATTGACTAAAGTCCATACATCATTCAGGTTTCATTATACTTTAAAGATTTTATTTATGTTTTAAAATGTTAATTTTAATTTTTATTATTTAAAAAAATGTTTATTTTGAGAGAGCATGCGCACCTGTGAGCACACATGTGTGCACACAGTGCATGCGAGCAGGGGAGGGGCAGAGAGAGAGAGGGAGAGAGAGAGAATCCCAAGCAGGCTCCATGCTGTCAGTACAGAGTCCAATGCAGGGCTGTATCCAGTGAACCATGAGATCTGACCTGAACTGAAATCAAGTCAGACACCTAACTGACTGAACCACCCAGACACCCCTATTTATATATTTTTAGAGCATGAGCTGGGGAGAGGGGCAGAGGGACAGTGAGAGAATATGAAGCAGGCTCCATGCTTAGCACAGAGCCTGATGAGGGGCTCAGTCTCACAACAGCAAGATCATTACCTGAGCTGAAGTCAAGAGTCAGGTGCTTAACCAACTGAGCCACCCAAGTGTTCCAAGATTTTATGTTTTTAAACAATTTTTAAAACATTTATTTATTATTATTTGATGTTTTTATTTATTTCTGAGAGAGAGAGAGGAAGTGTGAGGAGGGTCAGGTCAGAGAGAGAGGGAGACACAGAATCAGAAGCAGGCTCCAGGCTCTGAGCTAGCTGTCAGCACAGAGCCTGATGCGGGGCTAGAACCCACAAACCGTGAGATCATGACCTGAGCCGAAGTTAGACGCTTCACCGACTGAGCCACCCAGGCGCCCCAAACGTTTATTTATTTTTGAGAGACAGAGATAGAGTGTGATCAGGGGAGGGGCAGAGAGAGGGGAGACACATAATCCGAAGCAGGCTCCAGTCTCTGAGCTGTCAGCACAGAGCCTGACACGGGGCTCGAACCCACAAACCATGAGATCATGACCAGAGCCAAAGTCAGATCCTTAGAACTGACTGAGCCACCCAGGTACCCCTCAGGATTTTATGTTTAAGTAATCTCTACACCCAACATGGGTCTCGAACTTAATAACACTGAGATCAGGAGTTGCATGCTCTTCCCACTGAGCCAGCCAGGTGTCCCAGATTTCCTTAGTTTTTACCTTTTTTTTTTTTTTCTGTTCAAGGATCCCATCCTGGGTACCATATTACTTTTAGTTCTCATATCTCATTAAGGTCCCATTGGCTGTGACAGTTTCTCAGACTTTCCTTGTTTTGGATGACCTTGACAGTTTTGAGGAGTGCTAATCAAGTATTTTATAGGATGCCTCTCTATTGGAATTTGTCTGATGTTTTTCTCGTGATTAGATTGGGGTTAGGTGTTTTTTGGGACAACCACAGAGGAAAAGTGACATTTTCATTGTATCAAGGGTACAGTATCATAATGACGTTTTAACTGTTGATATTGAGCATGATTGTGGTCCCCTGGCTGACGTAGTATTTGTAAGCTTTCTCCAGTATAAAGTTACCCTTTTTTCCTTCTCTTTTCCATACTGCACTCTTTAGAAGAAGGTGTCTATTCACAGCCCATACTTAAAGAGGGAAAGTTATGTTTCCTTCTTTAAGGATGGAGTATTTACATATCTTATTTGGAATATTTCTGCAGATTGGTCTCTTCTCCATTTATTTATTCAATCATTTAGTTATATCAAAGTGGACTGGGTTATTATCTAATACTATGTATTTTATTACTCAAATGTTCTAGCTTTGGACATTAGGAGCTCTTATAGTTGGCCCTGTGTCCCTTTGACATACCATCACCAGTGTAGGTTTTTGTTTTTTTAGCTCTTCCTTACTTTCTGTGTCTAGAATATGCTCCAGGCTCATCTTTCCTATCTCAGTCCTAGAATCAGACATTTCTCCAAGGAGCCCTTGTTCCTATTACTGAAGAACAGTATTAAGAAACCAGGATTAGAGCACTAGATATTGTTACATTTGTGGTATCATTTTTTATTCCTCTCTTGTTCCCCATCCTCCACCTCATACCAATTGTCAAAATATCATTCTATTCCTACTGTTATTATCTTTGTCCCATATTCAGTACTTGTTAGATATATGGTCTTGGGAACTTTATTTAATGTTTATTATTTTTG